AGTTCCGGTCCTTGATTCTGATTGGCTGAGCCGCGTTCGAAGCTGTTGTAAATTACTCTACAAACATACACCTCTTTGTTTCTGCATCTGTGTGTTTTTGAGGAACTACATTGTTTGGCGGAAGAATACTGTTTTTATTAATATCATTACACTTTATTTGCTCTGTTTTATTCTGTGAAACCTTACTACATATATGGAATAACCGTTTTATAAAAGCAATAAGCCCCAGTGAATTTATAACAGCTAAGGGGGTTATCTGCTTCGCGTCGTACCTAACAACGCCCCTTAGTTGTTATAAATTCACTGTAAACCACGGCTTCTTGGGGCTTATTGCTTTAATTTATTTGTGTTCTACAGAAGAAAGTCAATCAGTTGGCTTTGTAATGACTGTAATGAGTGAATAAATTATGACACAATTGAATTTTTGGGTGAACTAACAGCCATCTTTGAAATTGGCTGTACTATCAGTTTTAAACCTTACTTAATGATTAATGAACATCAGCCCCGTTATAGCAGTATAAAACCACCAGTATTGTGTGTGTCATAGTGAATGAGCCTCATGGTGTCACCTGCAGAAGCTGATCATCGATGAGAAGAAGTTCTATCTGTTTGGGAGGAACCCTGAGCACTGTGACTTCACGATAGACCACCAGTCGTGCTCGCGTGTGCATGCGGCGCTGCTCTACCACAGACACCTCAAGAGAGTGTTCCTCATCGACCTCAACAGCAGTGAGTGCAGAGCTCTTCAACAACACGCTCTGTACAGAATCCTTCCCATCTCATCTTGATCTGTCCTTGTTTAGCCCATGGCACATTTCTGGGCAGAATCCGCCTCGAGCCCCACAAACCTCAGCAGGTGCCGATCGACTCGACCATGTCGTTCGGAGCGTCCACACGCGTCTACACGCTGAGAGAGAAACCGCAGACGCAGAGCAGCTCCAGCACAGGAGACAGCAAAGGAGTGGAGGACGAGGAACTGAAGGGGCTGCTGGGACTGCCGGAGGAAGAGACCGAGCTCGAGGTGTGTGTGTGTGTGTGTGTGTGTGTGTGTGAGAGTGTGAGTGGTTCAAAAAGAAATGATTGATTGAGTCAGTCTGGAAGAACTTGACTGTTCTGCAGAAAGCTCTGCTGTGACTTTAAATGCAGACCTTGAGCCAAAAACTCATCACCAAACACCAGTGACTTGTACAGATATGGATACAGTCATTTTAGACACTTCCAAAACTGTTGCAACAGAGATGGAAATGCAATTTTAAATACATGACTTATGTTTCCATCTTTGTTGCCACAGTTTTGTCACAGAAGAGCCTTTTTCTGTTCTAAAGAAGGGGGTGTCCCAATACGTTTGTCCTTATAGTGCATGTACAAGTCTCTGGTGTTTGGTGATGAGTTTTTGGCTCAAGGTCTGCATTTAAAGTCACAGCAGAGGTGTTCAGCTGGCTTTCTGCAGACCGACATATATATAAAACAGATATTTATTGCATGTTAAATATAAACGTGCTTAATTTAAATCCTCTATGTAACATTTTATGCAAAATATAGGTAAATATAACTGTCACTCAAGAGTTTCATATGTAATTTCTGGTTTTCTGGTGCCTTTTTTTTCCTCCCCCCCTTCCAGAACCTGACAGAGTTCAACACGGCTCATAACAAACGCATTTCTACACTCACCATCGAGGAGGGAAACCTGGAAATCCAGAGACCCAAGAGGAAGAGGAGGAGCTCACGAGTTTCCTTCAGTGAAGAAGAGGAGATCATAAACCCAGGTACTCACACGATGAATATAGAATATATATGTTACTCTACTGTTCAAAAGTTTGGACTCCATAAGATGCTTTTTAAAAGAAATGATTATTTTTATTCAGCAAGGATGCATTAAATTGATCAAAAGTGTGACGTTAAAAACATTTATAGTGTTATTTCTATTTCAAATAAATGCTGTTCTTTTGAACTTTCTATTCATCACAGAATCCTGAAAAATAGAATATATCACAGTTTCCACAAAAATATGAAGCTGTTGTCAACATTGATAATAATCAGAAATGTTTCTTGTGCATCAAAGCAGCATATCAGAAGGATTTCTGAAGGATCACGTGACACTGAAGACTGGAGTAATGATGCTGAAAATTCAGATTTACGTTACAGGAATAAATTACATTTTAACAGATATTCACATAGAAGACACTTACCGTATTGTCCCGAATATAAGACGATATTTTTTTCTTGGAAATACATCTGAAAAAACGCGGTCGTCTTATATTCAGGGTCTAGACTTTGACATGTCAATAATACACCCACAACACTAGGTGGACCTTTGTTACATGTCTTTTCTCCTCTCACAGAGGACGTGGACCCGTCTGTCGGACGCTTCAGAAACATGGTGCAGACGGCTGTGGTTCCTATTAAGGTGCGATCATTGGCCTGCTCTTGTCTGCTTGGTTACTTTAGCGTGTCGTCATTGATTTTAATGGATTTGAGAACAGCCATTCTCTCAATACAGTTTAAGTTGCATGGCTCGCAAACAGGAAATTTTATTATTATTGTATAGAAGTAATGGCTTCTAAAAGGCTTCCTCGTCATCTGAATGTAAAGGAGCTTAGATGTACTCTGTGTTTTGCTGTAGTCTTGCCACCCACAGTCAAACCAAAAATTATTCAGACACCAGATATTTTTGATATATATATATTTTTTTTAACTAGTGGATGCAGGACACTATAGTTCATTTATGTAAGTGAGGATAGCAAAATAAAGTAAACACTTTGACCTGACCATGTTTTGCTTAAGGGTTTTTTCTTTACTTGCTAATGCGACCTTTTTACACCACGGACTGAACAAAATTAAGCATGGCTTGGTTACTGGGGTTGACCTAAATTGGTGTAATCTAATTGTGTACTTAAATTTAGCTGCTGAATAATTGTTGGTTGATTGTAATCCATTACATACCTTTCTATCAAAGTTATCTGACATTATCAAGATGAATGGTGACTCTGGAGCACAAAAGCAGTCTTAAGTCGCTGGGGTATATTTGTAGCAACAGCCAACAATACATTGTATGAGTCAAAATTATTTTTATGCCAAAAATCATTAGGATTTTAAGTAAAGATCATGTTGCATGAAGATATTTTGTAAATTTCCTATCGTAAGTATATCAAAACTTCATTTCTGATTAGTAACATGCATTGCTAAGAGCTTCATTTGGACAACTTTAATTTTCTCAATATTTAGATTTTTTTGCACCCTCCTGCTGGGTACACTCCACAAGATAATCGGGCTGATTTTGGGCCGATTTCTCCCCTCCCGACAATCCTAGGTAATGTCCCGATTATCTTGGTGGTTCTAAAGATGATCTTATCAGATTTTCCTGTGGTGTGAGGTGTGTTAAGAGTGACTGAATCTGCTCGGAAGAACGTCGGAGGCGCCCCGATCGCGAATCGTAAATATTCAACATGTTGAATATCCTGATGTGTGGGGGGAACCCCAAGGACACCACACACTACAGGAGCAAAACGGTTAAATCTAGGATTTTTTTGTCCTCATGTTTGTGGTCTCTCACATTTTGAAGATCTTATAAGATTTTAAAAATCTTTTAGTGTGTACCCAGCATCAGATTCCAGATTTTCAAATAGTTGTATCTCGGCCAAATATTGTCCTATCCTAACAAACCATACATCAATGGAAAGCTTATTTATTATTAAACTGTTTTGTGGTCACAATTTGTTCTGAAACCGTTTAACTCTGAGTTCTTGTCATATTTTATTACCATTTTCTAAACTATAGCGAATAAACTGTGAGAAATGTTGAAGGTGTCTGAATACATTTTGGTATGACTTCAGGACAGTAGTAAAATGCATTCAGTTTTTGAAACTTCTGTCCCACAGAGGAAGAAGCTGGAAGGCCACAGTACGCTGGGATTGGAGGAGAGCGTAGCACGGCGGTTACAGAGCTTCCCGCTGAGCGCCGGGCTGTACGGTGACCTGCCTCCCGCCAGCCACGAGACCACAGGACAGGGCGGCTCGTCTGCCATCACCGGGGGGATGCCCCTGCCCTTCCCCAACCCCGCCCCGGAGGTTCACGGGGGGGGATGCCCCTGCCCTTCCCCAACCCCGCCCCGGAGGTGGACCTCTCGCCCACGACGGCACAGCCACCCGCTGTGCTGAACCCCACTCCCGCTCCCGGACCCTACTCGGCCGAGCCGCTCAACGAGCCGCGCAAGAAGAAGTACGCCAAGGAGGCGTGGCCTGGCAAAAAGCCCACCCCCTCCCTGCTGATTTAACATGGGACAGACAAACTGTGACAGATCTCAAGATTACATCTTGGAGTTCGTTTGAAGTTATTGGTTGCAAACTTCATGTTTGCAACATTTCTGATACATACTTCAAACGAGTGCTGTCAAACGATTAATCGCATCCAAAATGAAAGTTTTTGTTTATGTAATATATGTGAGTGTACTGTGTGTATTTATTATGTATATATAAATACAAACACATGCATGTATGTATTTCAGAAAAATATGTTGTTTATATATTATAAATTATATTAATATATAAATTATATGAATATACAGTGCCGTGAAAAGGTTTTTGCCCCCTTCCTGTTTTTTTATTTTTTTGCCTATTTGTCACACTTAAAAGATTCAGATCATCAGACAAATTTTAATATTACACAAAGATAACCCGAGTAAATACAAAATGCAGTTTTGAAATAATGATTTCATTTATTAAGGGAAAAACGCTGTCCAAACATGCCTGGCACTATGTGAAAAAGTAATTGGAATTGCCCCCTAAATCTAATAACTGGTTGTGCCACCCTTTGCAGCAACAACTGCAATCAAGCGTTTGTGATAACTGGCAATGAGCCTTTCACATCGCTGTGGAGGGATTTTGACCCACTCTTCGTTGCAGAATTGTTTTCATTCAGCCACATTGGAGGGTTTTCGAGCATGAATGGACTGTTTAAGGTCATGCCACAGCATCTCAATCGGATTTAAGTCCGGACTTTGACTTGGCCATTCCAAAACCTTAATTTTGTTTTTCTTGAGCCATTCAGAGATGGACTTGCTGGTGTGTTTGGGATCATTGTCCTGCTGCATAAACCAAGTGCGCTTGAGCTTGAGGTCACAAACTGACGGCCGGACATTCTCCTTCAGGATTTTCTGATAGAGAGCAGAATTCATGGTTCCATCAATTATGGCAAGTCATCCAGGTCCTGAAGCTGCAAAGCAGCCCCAGACCATCACACTACCACCACCATGTTTGACTGTTGGTATGATGTTCTTTTTATGAAATGCTGTGTTGGTTTTACACCAGATGTAACGGGGGACACACCTTCCAAAGAGTTCAACTTTTGTCTCATCAGAATATTTGCCCAAAAGTCTTTGGGATAATCAAGATATTTTTTGGCTTTGTGTTGGCCAGCAGTGGCTTTCACCTTGGAACTCTCCCATGGATGCCGTTTTCGTACTTATTTCGAGAAGCTGCTGCGTCTGAAGTTGACACTATAAACTGTGGTTGTATCTGTTGGGGCGAGTGAATATCACAAAGAAATATTTGGTTTATTTCACCCCAAAATCGTAAGGAAAAAAATTAGATTTTGAATTTTTTTTTTTTTTTTTTTTTTTTGTAGGTGCTAACATGACTACCAGTCAAATAGTATGACTAAATAATTATTATTGAATATTATGATTATTTAGCAATATATATTTAACTTATTTTAACACGTTGAAGTTGGCTTCTTCCCTGGCTATCTTGAGGGTTATTTCCATGACAAGATTACACAATGTAATGGAAATCATCATAATGCAAAGAAGTCTTGGTAACACTTTGCAAAAAGGTCCTGATAGTTAATGCATTAGCTAATATTAACGTACAATGAGCAATACATTTGTTACAATATTTATTAATCTTTGCTACGTTTAGTGAATAAAAATACTGTTCATTGTTAGTTTATCAGCTCAGGTCCGGTATACAGTGGGTACGGAAAGTATTCAGACCCCCTTAAATTTTTCACTCTTTGTTATATTGCAGCCATTTGCTAAAATCATTTAAGTTATTTTTTTTCCCTCATTAATGTACACACAGCACCCCATATTGACAGAAAAACACAGAATTGTTGACATTTTTGCAAATTTATTAAAAAAGAAAAACTGAAAAATGCTCAGTATTTAGTAGAAGCACCCTTTTGATCTAATACAGCCATGAGTCTTTTTGGGAAAGATGCAACAAGTTATTCACACCTGGATTTGGGGATCCTCTCCTACCATCCAACCTGATAGAACTGGAGAGGATCTGCAAGGAGGAATGGCAGAGGATTCCCAAATCCAGGTGTGAAAAACTTGTTGCGTCTTTCCCAAAAAGACTCATGGCTGTATTAGATCAAATGGGTGCTTCTACTAAATACTGAGCATTTTTCAGTTTTTCTTTTTTAATAAATCTGCAAAGATGTCAACAATTCTGTGTTTTTCTGTCAATATGGGGTGCTGTGTGTACATTAATGAGGAAAAAAAATTAACTTAAATGATTTTAGCAAATGGCTGCAATATAACAAAGAGTGAAAAATTTAAGGGGGTCTGAATACTTTCCGTACCCACTGTAAATAATATTAACAGATACAACTTTTATTTGAATAGCGTTTTAGCAAATTTTGAACTTAACTAAGATAGAAAAAGTGTTTTTCATTGTTATTTCAATTGAGTAATGTAGGTGACCAACGCTATCTCACGACCAATTCGCACGTATTTTATGAGGTGGCTAATTCGTACGAACTCAATCGTATGATTTTGTACGATTTGTCTAGACCCCAGCGATGGGCAGGTCATTCGTACAAATTCATACGAATTGGGGAACTCGTAAAATACGTACGATTTCAAAAAAGTCGTATGAATTTATACAAATTAGCTACCTTGTAAAATGCGTACGGATTGCCATGAGATCAGGTTGAGGTAACCATGGCAACAGATGAAATCTTATTGTAAAGTGTTACCGAAATCTTTCATTTTCTTCATGCTAAATATAATAACCTGGATATGATCTCGTTTGGTTTCATGAGTTTTCCCCTGAAAATGTGGCGATTTCTGTTCACAACGCCTCATGTTACAGGTTTCTTTTCTGAGATGAACCTCAGCCAACTACAGACAGAAAGCGTGGCCTGTATTCAGTAGATGTGAGGAGGTGGTTTGGGTAAATGCGTTCTCACTCACGTTAAACACACGAGCTTGTTGTTTTCAGCAGTGAATGGTGTGCAGCAACCCCTGCTACATAGATTTAGCTTTTTTTTGAAAGCCTGAAAGCTTATTTGCTCGTCAAAATGGCCACACAATTTTCAACTGTTTTTAACGTAAGTTTGTTTTTAAAAAGACGTTTTCGTATGACTTATTTTAAGTAAAAACCAAACCAAATGTTACATTACTAAACGTAATGCTATAGGAAATGAATCTGTAAGCTGGAGCGGCGCGTTTAATCTGTTTTCATGAGGCAGATTGTATTATGTATAGGACGTTATGAATTGTTTGAGAATACTGTGGCTGTGTGAATGTCGGTTTATAGAGGGAAATGCAAACACTGACGAAAAGAGCACAATGATTTGTGTCATCTGAATGCAGGAAGCTGTCTTGTAATGTGAACTGTTTTGTTAATGTTTATATATATATATATTTTTATATCTGAATGCGATGGACTTGTGAGTGAAAAGCACAGACGAAAAGACTAAACGTGAAAGGAATTATTATTGGATTATTTGTCTAATAAACAGTATTCCTTGCCCTTAACATGATTAATGTTTTTTTGTTGTTTGTTTGTTTTCGAAAATGTTAGTGCTTCTGTGTGAAACTGACTGTCTACACCGGACGCGAGCGGCGCGGCGCAGGTGCGACAAAATACTATAGAACTCATCATAATCAGTGATGCTGTCTACACCATAGATATATATACATATCTATGGTCTACACTGGATGCGGCGCGGCACGACACGACAAATGCTGCGTTCTATTCATGACGTATTGACACAAATTTCAAATGATTTTCAACGGTCGCTTTGTCGCGTCCAGTGTACTAGACAGACTTTAGCTGTTGCGGCACGACGCGACAACTGTTGCGCGTCCGGTGTAGACACGGTGTTACCATCATGAATGCATATGAATTTGTGGGTGGTTGAAAAGTCAATGTCTGTGATGTTTTGTTTGATAAATGGTCCCTGCTAGAAAAAAATAAAATAAAATAAAATAATAATAATTACTAGATAAAAAAGTTTGTCAAGACAAACTTTAAGTTGGCTTGAGAAAGCCGGACCAGAAAGTTTGAAAATTTTAAAAAGTTTTAAGTTTGATGGTTTTCTGAAGTAGTTTGAAGTTTGAAGTAGTCTTAAAAGCTTAAAGTTTGAATGTTTTGAAGGCAATACAGTCCGTCAGCAATACCGGGGGTGGTTGCTAGGACGGTTGCTAGGGTACCTGAGGTGGTTTCTAGGGTGTTGCTATGCGGTTGCTAGGGCACTCAGGGTGGTTGCTAAGGTATTGCTATGCGGTTGCTAGGGTACTTGGGGTGGTTGCTAAGGTACTCTGGGTGGTTGCTAAGGTGTTGCTATGCGGTTGCTAGGTACTCGGGGTGGCTGCTAGGGTGGTTGCTAGGGCGGATGCTAGGGTACTCGAGGTGGTTGCTAAGGTGTTGCTTTGTGGTTGCTAGGGTGTTGCTAGGGCGGTTGCTAGGGTACGCTGGGTGGTTGCTAGGGTGTTGCTATGCGGTTGCTAGGGTACTCAGGGTGGTTACTAGGTTGGTTTGGATAGTTGCTAGAGTGTTGCTATGAAGTTAGATAGATAGACAGACAGACAGAGTTAACGCTCTAGGAGGAGTTAGAGTTGATAATTTTAGTCTCAGAAGAAGAAGAAGAAGAAGAAGAACTGTAAGTTTAAGTCGGATTTCAGTAAGTTGGCTTTCTCAAGCCAACGTAATAATGAATAAATAAAACTGCTGGTCAGGCTGTGAGACTAGCTAAGACCAGCCAGCCAGCGTTAGGCTTTTAAAGATTTTTTTTTTTTAAGCAGGGGCAGGTACTTCATTTAATGTTTGTATTTTATTATTTTATTTATTGACCTGGCTGAAAATCATAAAGCTGACCACTTGGAAAATGTGACAGCACTTTAACAAGCACAATTTAGGGTATGGCACTTGTAACTTTACTGCAATTATTGAGTCATTTTGTTTTTGAATGACTCAACGCTCTTCACGATGACATTTATGAGTGATGAACAGTTAAAAACCACAAAAGCCTTCAACACAGAGAGAGTAAGTAATGAGGTAAGTTGGCTTTCTCAAGCCAACGTAATAATGAATAAATAAAACTGCTGGTCAGGCTGTGAGACTAGCTAAGACCAGCCAGCCAGCGTTAGGCTTTTAAAGATT